GACAATACAGCAAGAAATAAAAAAGTTATGATCCAGGTACAAGTTTTCGGACGGCAACGGCAACGGCAACGGCAACGGAGACGGCAACGCCGACCTGACTATAACAATACCTCTACTTTTTTTTTCAAAAAAAAAAAAGTCGAGCTAAAAAACGAGATACATGCACTTTAATAACTATTATATAAATATAATTATGTAGGTATGACAACTGAGTATTTACAGTTAGTTTACAGCTACACCTACCATTCTTGAGCTCATGTTCTAATTGGAGGTATTGTTTCTTCAGATGACTCGGGAATGGTACAGCTGACATATTACTTGGCATGTTTGCCACTTGTAATGATATATCTGGTGTAGATGACGGGTGAAGGATTTGTGGTTGCCTGAAAATAAGCAAAACAAAATATGTCTAAAAGCTATCTCAAGTGACAAAACACATATTCTTCTTATAATTTTGTCCAGATTTCTGTTCTTAATTTGGGCTCATTTCTCCTCTTGATGTCACCCCAATCTTTCTCTTGATGTCACCCCAATCTTTCTCAAGTGAGCGGAGATGAAATTGATATTTGATTTCAAGGTCACAGTCATCTTGACCTTTGACTTATTGACCCAAAAACAAATATGATTCTTCTTACATACAATTAATTAAGCTAATCAGTACACAGTATACAGTGAATAAAGAGTTACTGATTGCAAGTAATTTGTTTTACTTACAAAATGACCTAACAATAGAAAAACAAAGCAAAACATTAAAGACTTTTATCTATACAAGAGAGCATACAACAGTAAGACCTTGGCAATCCGAAGAGTACCTTACCACAAAAAATGTTTTCTTAGCAACATGTTTACTTACAATTCATTGTCTAAAAGTTCCACAAATTTTATCACTTCTTCCGTCACTGTTTTTGTTGTATTAGTTTCTATGGAAACATTTTTTCCAGGATCTGGATTTGTTTTGTTCAACACTTTCTCTTTTCTTGGTAATGTGTCAACCTCTAATGTGAAATTTACCTGAAATCATAGCATGAAAATAACCCCATTTGTAAACTTTATTCAGAGCAAAATAAAACACTTGAATATAATGCTGGTGAATCTATAATATTTTCTTTTATCACACACCCATGCCGCTTTTGCAACTCTGTAAAAATGGTATTGCAAGGCCATGCATATATTTTGATGTGACATCATTTGCGTTATACAAACATAGTGTAAAAATATATATTTAGTGTTACACTACTGGCCTGTCAATGAAAAATGATTCATTTTACTCTTAACAGTCTTTATTTTGGGTATGTGATAAATAGAATATTAAATTCCTGTAGATGCATTACTGAATTTATTGAATTTCGTTGAATAAAATAATATTATGCCAGAGGTTTGCATAATATAATTTTGTTCAACTTGTTTATTAAATTCAGTATTGAACTTACACACAACTTAACCAGAGACAACAAAAAATACAGGTCAATCCTTACATTTCTGATACAGGAAGTGATTAGGATTTGCCACATGTGTAGAGCCAGGTCAGCCTAAACATTTGTATGATCTAACCAGTCTCTAAACTGTTGACTAAATAACCTCAAATTTTCATCTTGATATCTCCAAAAATTAATAATGGATAATTCTGAAAGCTGAACTCCACTTCAGCAGCTCAATACATTATTCATGTAATTCGACTCCTTGTTGCAGTATCAAGTTAACTCCTATTAGATTTAGAAGGACTGAACACGTTACTGCAGTAAGGAGACAATATAAAGCCTAAAATTGTCTGTCAATTCATGAAGCATATAAACTCCAATATTGTGTTTAAACAGACAAACAAACTGTTTTAAATAGACCTAAAAATTAACAAAAAAATCTATTAAATTACATAGCCTCTCAATTTTAAATCTAATTATAAGGACGAGAATGGATTTTACCCACAAGTTAGTCCATACCTGTTTAGTTTGATTGACTTTACCATAATCTATTGTAAAGTTGATACATGTCTTGTTCATGTTACTATGCAACACAACAGTGAGAACTTTAAACTTCTTCGCAACAGCTATCGTTCTAAAATTTCTTATTATCGTTAATCGCATTCTTTTTAATGCGTTTCTTTTCTAAAAAAAGAAAAAACGACAGTTTGAAAAACCCAAAGTATACTGCCTTTTTAATAAAAGATTAACTTTTATAAGGGGTCAAAACTTTTGATTTTGTACAAAAAAATCTCAAGTTGTAAATGTTCCAAAAACATAAATACCTATCTTTTATTTTTTTTTTTTTTTTTTTTTTTACATTTTTTGTATTCTTAAAATTTTAGTTTACAAATTTTTGGTTTCATCAATAAAAAAACCCCAAGACTTTTGAGTTTTTTATAAAATTACAAAATTTTCCCCGAAAGTTAGAAAAAAGTGTCAAACATTTGGTCTGACATACCATGAAAATCTGTCAGACTGAAACGAAATCTGTCAGACCATATGAAATTAAACAAAATCAAAGGAAAACTTGTGTTTTATTTCTAAGACACTTTTTGGTTTTAATTTTTACACCGTAAAGTTTTCACCACAGTTCGTACAGCGCATTTTCATCTCCTCCCTGTCATACACCAACCATTCATGGTCCTGCTTCCATTTTTAATTAAATTTTGTCTCAAGTCTATTCTTTTCATACTTTTATTGCTGTTCTGTGCGCTCCTTTGACGTAGTTTTTTTGTTTTTTTACCAGGTTATGAAAAAGATTTCAGAGGAAAATTACATTTATCACTGCCAGCTCGCAAAGCTCAATCGGTTAGAGCGCCCGACTTGTAATCCTGGCATTGTGGGTTCGATTCCCGGGCTGGCCAACTAAAATTACTAATCAGTCTTTCCGATAGACTTTAAATGGAGTTTCCGTGTATGAGTGCTTAAACACTTGGAACGCTTAAGAACAAGGAGAAGTTTCTGGCTGTATCTTGCACTATCCTCCAAAATCTAAAATCACTAATACTCTTCTCGAGGACTCGCCCATATTGGCACCCCGTTTAGAGTATACATAAACTCAAATACACTCACAATAAATTTATCAAAATCTTGCCCTGCTAAATTTATGTAATGGAACTATGCATTGTTAATATGAATGTTTACAATTTAATAGTTATAAAGTTTTACCTGGAGGCAGTGAATAGTTGGTTTGATTTGGAAATAACATCATTCCATGTATCTGGCTGTACTTATCAGTTCCACAATCTCCAGCATCAAAACCACACTCTATTACATTACATGCCTAAAATTATAAATCCTTAATTCAGTGAAAAATAAATAAATCAGTGAACAGACAACAATCTGTTACATTACATGCCTAAAATTATACATCTTTAAACAGACCAAACTCAATTACATTACATGCAATCCGTGAACAGAACAAACACAATTACTTTACATGTCTAAAATCTATAAATCAATGAATAGACCAAATTTAATTACATTACATGCCTAACTTTATTACTTTGAAAAATTACATGCCCATAATCAGATACTAGTATGCAATGCCAGTTATTGTATCCACTTAACTTAGCAAGTTTAAAGGTTTTAATTTCAAATGTGCAAATAATTTATTATAATAATAAGAAGAATACTAACAAAAACAGGCACAACAATAGTAAATGCATTTAAAAATATGTATTATTCTATAATAATGACCTGTCAAAATTATGAATTTTACATTATGACAAGGAAAATATGCATATTTTAACAAATCCCAACCCTTTCATTCAAGGAACTGTAAAGGCCATATGTTAATATTTCTTTCAAATTATTGGCCTCTTTGGCACAAACAGACTCCTGAGAAGGGCAATCAACCTCCCATAAGCTGTTTTACTCACATGAAAGAATCAAAAAGGTCTGGTGGGATTCAACCCACAATGGTGAGGTCCAAGTGATTAAAACACTGCAACACTCAGCCACAGAGTAAAAAAGGTTTTTATATAAATGACTGTCTTAAATGAAATAATAGGCCTACCGTATCACAATATCTGTCAGCTACCCAGTTATTGGCACAACCACTGTGACAGTAAGCTGTTAAAAATACAGAAAACTTATAATTCTGATCATTTAAACCCTTGTGTTGAAAACGTTTGACAAAAATATCAATTTATAACAGTCATAATCTGCAAACCTATATCAAGCTACTCATATTCTATTATTGCAAAAAGGCAGGTCTCTAATTTGCAAAAAATCTTTATCCAATTTCTAGACAATTATTCATAGATAAACTTACTTTATCTAATTTTTAGACAATTATTTAATGATTGACTTTACTTTATCTAATTTCTAGACAATTATTCAATGATAAACTTTACTTTATCTAATTTCTAGACAATTATTCAATAATAAACTTTACTTTATCTAATTTCAAGACAATTATTCAATAATTAACTTTACTTTATCTAATTTCTAGACAATTATTCAATAATTAACTTTACTTTAGCTAATTTCTAGACAATTATTCAATAATAAACTTTACTTTACCTAATTTCTAGACAATTATTCAATGATAAACTTTTCTTTTTACACTCTTTCATCATGTAACTAGTGCTAAGATTATCATTTTGAAACCATGTTCTGCTGTGTAAAACTGCAGAAAAATGTAACATTCCAGACCACATTCCAGGATCAAAACTTTCTCATCCATCAACCACTGGAAATCATAGAATATCAACTGAATTAAATGTTGAAAATCTTGTGACATAAGAAAATTTGAAGCTTACCTGAGGTATCAGACCCCCAACTTCCAGCCCAGCCACCCTGGCTCTGTAGAGCATTTTTACCTGCATTACACAATTTATACATTTTAGTCAAATATAGATGGAAATATAATACAAGAGGGCAATGACTGCCCTTATATTGCTCACCTGAGTGTGTCAAATTGAGTCTTGCTCACCTGAGTGAGTATTGGTTTTATATAGAAAACAAGAGGGCCCTGAAATCGCTCACCTGTATATAGGCCTCTGGGCCAAGGCCAATTTTAAACCAGGGGCTTTTATTTGAACAAACTTGGTAGACACCCATTAGAAGATATTTCATGATAAATATCTAAGCTCTAGCTCTTTGGGTTTTTATGTGAAGATTTTTTACTATACACATATAAGGAAAATCAATGACCCCCGGGGGAGGGAAATTTCAACCCAAAGGCCCTTATTTGAAAAAACTTGGTAGACACACATAAGAAGATGTTTTATGCTAAATATCTTAGCTCTAGCTCTTTGGGGTTTTTAAACGAAGATTTTTTAAAGTTTTTACTACATACATAAAGGGGAAAAAATTACCCCCTGGGGCAGGGCCAATTTTTACCCCAGGCTTTTTATTTTTTAACAAACTTGGTAAACACCCACTAGAGGATGTTTCATGCTTAATATCTAAGCTCTAGATATTTGGGTCTTTTAAAAGAGGATTTTTTAAGTTTTTACTATATACAAATAAGAAAATCAATCACCCCCTGGGGCGGGGCAAATTTTGACCCCAGTGCATTTATTTGAATAAACTTGGTAGACACTGACTAGATGATGTTTCATGCCAAATATTTAAGCTCTAGCTCTTTCAGTTTTCTAAAAGAAGATATTTTAAGTTTTTTCTTTTGGTTGCCATGGCAAACAGATTTCTGCTTGGAGTTAAATTCTTTGATGACTACCAAAGTAACATTCCTGTGAAGTTTCGATGAATTGGCTTAGCGTTTATGAGGAGATGTCATTTAAAGTAAAAGTTTACGGACGGGCAACAGACGCCAGAAGAAAAGTGATCACAAAAGCTCACCATGTCACTTTGTGACAGGTGAGCTAATAAGTGTTTGCAGGAGTATAAAAAATCTGAACTTCAGGCAAATCCCTGAAAACCTGTACCCATGCTCTTGTACAACATTTTATAACCCTAGTCACATGACTTAAAACTTTTGTTTTAAGCCCAAAATGCCAAATCTGAAAGCTCCCGGACATGTACAACGAAGTAGTCAGTATAGAAGAATTAAATTTGTGGTTTTTTTTGTGTTTTTTTTTAGGAGAAATTTTATCAAGATTTTATTTTCAGTCTATATTTAGCTTGTGTGACCTGCTTGTGCATTCAACCAGAACCAATAAGATAACTCTCATTGAGGGCCAGCTGTTAAGTTTGGTCAAAATTCAACTATGATTCTCTGTAATCATGCAAAGTTTAAAGGAAATTCTCTTCGTTCGTTTTAATTTTCTTTCTTTGCCTTTGTAGAAAATTGCTGAGCTCCCAAAAACGTTATTACTGTGTTTATATATATATGTGTTATAATAGCATAGCTAATAATCAAAGAAACTACTCCGTCTTGCAGAACAAACAATTTTTTACCATCACAGTCTCCAGCATCCCACTCACACTCAGATACGTTACACGCCTTGTCACAGTAGCCGTCCTTTATCCAACTTGATGGGCAGCCTTCATTACAATTAGGTACTGGCCAAGTCAGATAAACCTGTATAATTTCATTAAGCAATAACATGACATATGATTTGAAATAGTTGTAAGGTCATTTCAGGCTAAGTAAAAAAAAAAATTCTTGCCTCTGACAAAAGGTAAATAGATAATTTTCTAAAATCTTTTTCTATTGACAGGATAACGTATAATGACACATGTACACCTTGATCTAATCTCTCTTAAACAAATTAAAAAAACTTTCAAACATCAAAAACAGACAAAACTCTTGTGAACAGAGTGAAAGTAAAAATGTTTGACAAAACTGTTAAAAGTTATGGATCAAGTCTGTCAAAACTTATCAGCAATTTTACTTGTTGATCTTACAAAAGAAAATATTATTTTTATTATTCACTTTCACAACCATTTTCAAAATATACGAATATTATTATGTATACCACACCTTCTGTCCGGAGCTGTGGGTGTAGAAATCATCAGGCCACACCTCCTTACCAAACATGACATCATCATTCATGTATATAAATTTGTCAGACAGACCAGGTATACGATGTAGATTACTCTCTATAGCTGGTGAACCAAACGATGGCAGGTGACTTGCATTCATAAATATTTCCTGTAAACATTGCACACATTTCCTTGAAATTAAACAATTTTAATAATTTATGAGCTGCGTCATGACAAAACCAACGTAATGTAATCCGTACAGTCTGATCAGGATCCATGCTGTTCGCTTACCAACCCTATTACAAGTAGAGAAACTGATAGCGAACAGCATGGATCCAAATCAGACTGCGCAGATGCGCAGGCTGGTCTGGATCCATGCTGGTCGCAAACCCATTATGTTGGTTTTGTCGTGACGCGGCTCATATTATGTTTTGAATGTGTTATAAATCATACATGCACTGTAAAGATCATACGACAATTTTGTAGCCACAAGAGAAAAACCACCACTCTTCCCTAAGTTAACTGAATAACTCATTCCATAAGTTAAGTGGATAACTAAATATATTAAGTCTGGTGGACATTTAACCTACAGTGGTGAAGGCCAAGTGATTTGAAGAAAATGTCATTGAGTTCACAGAAAGCTTTTTAAGAGCATATTAAGACTTACATTACTGATGTCAGACCTCAATATAATACTTAAGCCAATCAACTTGCTTATGTCTTTGGCCATTTTTAAAGACTGAACAGAAGAGTTTGAAGATAGAAATCAATTATCAATTGTGCCCACTTTCTTTTCTTAATAACAATTAGTTATTTTAAGTGCTTTAAACACTCCTTAATCTCCCATTCATGAATGAGGTCACGAGAAAACCGGCAATAAATTAATTTACATACTTAAACCAAGTAAAATCATTTTAACCTCATGTGTCACAATGGAAACTCTTGGATTCTCTAGGTTAAGCCAATATGGAAGTTGACCATTTGTCACAATATAAATATGTCTGATCCAGGGGGCAAATCTCTCCAGTGACCGTAGAGAATATCTCAATTCTTCATTGTCCTCAAACCTACTGGCTGATATGTCCTCATCTCTAGACAACTGAAATAATGTGACAAATAGCTTGAATAATGTGACCGATAGCTTGAATAATGTGACAGATTACTGAAATAATGTGACAGATAGCTTGAATAATGTGACCAATAGCTTGAATAATGTGACAGATTACTAAAATAATGTGACAGATAGCTTGAATAATGTGACCGATAGCTTGAATAATGTGACAGATTACTGAAATAATGTGTCAGATAGCTTTAATAATGTGACCAATAGCTTGCATAATGTGACAAATAAGTGAAATAATGTTAAAGCTTGAATAATGTGACAAATCAGTGAAATAATGTTACACATAGCTTTAGTAATGTAAAATATATGTGGGATAATGTGACAGATATTTTAAATAATGTGACAGATTAGTGAAATAATGTGACAGATCAGTGAAATAATGTGACTGATCAGTGAAACACTATAACAGATAGCTTATATAATTTGACATATAGCTGAAATAATGTGACAAATCAGTGAAATAATGTGACAGATTAGTGAAATAATGTGAAAGATAAGTGAAATATGTGGCAGATAGCTTAAGTAATGAGACAGATTATTGAAATAATGTGACAGATAGTTGAATATTATGACAGATCAGTGAAATAATGTTGCACATAGCTTAAATAATGTCACAAACCGGTGAAATAATGTGACATAGCTTAAATAATGTCACAAACCGGTGAAATAATGTGAAAGACAGCATAAACTATCAAAATCATTGTGTGATCATATACATGTATAGCATTTTCATGTAAAAACATTAACAATAACAATTGTTTAAGCATGATAAATATTTGGATTAAGGCATAGGAAATAGACGTCAGACGTTCAACTGCTACGTGTAGCACTGCGTAAAACAAAATAAGTTACAGCTTATAGTTATCATTGCGGTGAAATTTTTTTTATTACTTTAGCGCAGTTATTGTCTTTGAATCAAGAAATATCTTCAAAGAACAAGATACACAATAAATTTTTAGGACATTTACGGAATCATAAAAAATAATATGTTGGCTACAAAAAAGGTCGACAAAGCTTTGTTCACAACGCCATGAGTGATCTTTTCTGAGTGATATGAGTTTTATCAACCAGACTTTCACTTATTAGCATAAAATATTACAACGGCTAGACAGAGTACATTTAAGATAAAACACAAAATATTGACAAAATAAAATATCACCATGTCAGCGGGACTAATACAGTAGGGGTTATTTTGCGTATTTTGACATCTGTTGGTAATTTACGTACAATGTATGCAATGTGTAAATAACTTCCTTTGTAAATTTCGCAATGTTTTACTTTAAAATATATTTTCCTAATTGTCATGAAAATAAGTATGGATCTTGAGGCATGCTACTTACATTATGCTTAATAATGTAATTTCAAGGAAATTTTTGTTTTCCCCCTAATTTTTTTATAAAGCAGAACAGGATTTCAACAACTTCAAGCGTCTTACGCACACATCCACTACACTTAACAATTGTCTCTCAATTATAAACTCTTGTTTAAAGTTTCTGTTATATAAAACAATGATGTCCATGTGATGTGATAGTTACTTCCTTGTTCTATATACATTGAAGCTATATTACATAAATTAAAATATGTAAAAATATTTTGCCATTGGCCTAAAAACCAAGCATTCTACAGTTTCATTAACCTTTCTATAGTTGTAAATCTCATCAAAAATTGTTCATAAATTAGGATTTTATAAGGAAAACCCCACGGTAACACTAAAGTTCGTATCAGAATTTAAACATGCCAATGAAGACTATTATCAGCTTGTGTATGCGCTATGTCACAGTTTTATAGTTGCTATCCGGAGCATAGCAGATATGATATTTTCTTGTGCAAACACAATTTAACTGTTTTAGCTTCACCATGCACTAAGCCTTAAGTAATCATCATATTAAAAAGATAAAATTTGTATGAAAACATCTGTTACAATGCGGAAATATACCGTTAAATTAGGACTGCTTCTTATAGTCATGTTTGTTGATTTAATATTGATGCCTGGATGTTCCTAAGGCGGAGTTTCTCATGCAAACAGAAATTGTACTTCCGGTTTCGTCACAATAAGGTTGCCCACTTTAATGCTTATAAAACTCATTTTGGTTGTCTGGACACCAAAATAAGATATGGAGTCGATATGAAACACAATTTATTTATGAAATGACGCTATTTCTGTATTTATGAAAATTATTAAATGTAGCTTTAAAGTGTTTATTCCAATTTATATACATATCAGCCACAACTTGTTACAATAAAGAGAAATACTTGGAAAACATCTTGACACTCAGGAAATAAAATCACTATCAAAAGATATCATGTAATTGTTGTTAAATTATCTTAAGTAAGTAAGCCCTGAAAAGGTTTCCTGTTGAAAGGACAATATGTCAAGTGTCGTTTAAATAGATGAAATTAGATTTGAGCCACGTCAAGACAAAACAAACATAATGGGTTTGTGACCAGCATGGATCCAGACCAGCCTGCGCATCCGCACAGTCTGATCAGGATCCATGCTGTTGGCTTACAAAACCTAGCAAGTAGAGAAACTGATAGCGAACAGCATGGATCCTGATCAGACTGCGCGCATGCGCAGGCTGGTCTGGATCCATGCTGCTCGCAAACCCATTATGTTGTTTTTGTCGTGACGCGGCTAATTTGTCAACTCATATTTTCTCCTTGAAATTTTCTTTCTTGGTATTTAAGAAATGATTCAGCGAGTGTTTTGTCAGAGGTTCAAGGTTACCGGAACTAGTTTATCAGCACAGTTTGTACTTACCCTTTAAGCTGTAAAAAAAAAAGAGTCATTTCTACCCATATCTTTAAACTGCGGAAAACCGTCATCATTATGGTGAATAATTTTATCATTTTAGTGCAGCAACAATTTTTTTTTTACATACAACTATGTGTGCACTGTTTAAACAAGAGCCCGGTTGATGCTCCCCGAATAGGTTTTGGACACAGAAAGTACACCTCTTGTAGTTTCAGAGTTATGTCCCTGGAAAAAGTTCAAAGTGCAATAATTCCAAAATTAGGCAAGGCAGAGTTACTGTTCTTTGCACTGCATTTCTAATCAATGTGATCTATCAACCTACAAAGTTTCTTGATGATATCTCTTATGATTTCCGAGCTATGTCCCGGACAATTTCAAAAAGTAAAAATAAACAAAGGGCAATAACTCCAGAATTAGGCCAGGCAGAGTTATGATTCTTGTGCACTGCACATCTACCCATTGAGATATATCTACCTAAAAAGATTTTTCTATTTTTAGTTTCTGTGACCTAGTTTTTGACTGGAGATGACCCATCTTCGAACTTGACCTAGAAATTATCAAAACAACCTTCCTGACAAATTTCCAGAATATCTGGATCAAAACTGCAGCAACTAGAGTGTTAACAAGCTTTTTCTATTTTTTGCTCCTGTGACATAGTTTTTGATCGGAGATGACCCATCTTCAAACTTGACCTAGAAATCACCAAAACAACCTTCCTGACAATTTTTCAGAATATTTGGATCAAAACTGCAGCCACTAGAGTGTTAAAAAGCTTTTTCTAATTTTAGCTCCCGTGACCTAGTTTTTGACCGGAGATAACACATCTTCGAAGTCGATCTGTATTTCATTGAGACAACATTCTGACAAAGTTTGACAATGATCCAATCAAAACTGTGACTGCTAAACTGTTAACAACCCAATTGTTGATAACGAACAACGCACGACGACAGATGACGGACACAGCCCCATCACTATAACTCACTTTGACCACTTCGTGGTCAGGTGAGCTAAAACTAGAAATGTGTCCATAGGACACGGATGCCCCCACACGCCACTGTTCTGTCAATCTTATGACTCTAGGTCAAATATTTTTTGTACTACATGTGCTACAAGTTGAAAACTAAAAATCAACAAAGGGCCATAATTCTGTTAAATTTAGTCGCAGCAAAAATTCCTTCCTTTACTACCATCTACACATTAAGGTTGTTCATCCCTGGAAGTTTAAGCAAAATCTGCCATCCGGTTTAAGAGGAGTTGCTTTCACAAAATTTCTACATAGTATATAATAAAAAAATCAACAAAGGGCCATAATTCGGTTAAATTTGGTTGCAGCAAAAATTCCTTCCTTTACTGCCATCTACACATTAAGGTTGTTCATCCCTGGAAGTTTAAGCAAAATCTGCCATCCGGTTTAAGAGGAGTTGCATTCACAAAATTTCTACATAGTATATAATAAAAAAAATCAACAAAGGGCCATAATTCGGTTAAATTTGGTTGCAGCAAAAATTCCTTCCTTTACTGCCATCTACACATTAAGGTTGTTCATCCCTGGAAGTTTAAGCAAAATCTGCCATCCGGTTTAAGAGGAGTTGCATTCACAAAATTTCTACATAGTATATAGTGAAAAAATCAACAATGGGCCATAATTCTGTTAAATTTGGTCACAGCAAAAATTCCTTCCTTTACTACCATCTACACATTAAGGTTGTTCATCCCTGTAAGTTTAAGCAAAATCTGCCATCCGGTTTAAGAGGAGTTGCTTTCACAAGATTTCGGGACGTACGGACATACCAACTTTTGACATTTATGAGGCAAATCAGCTCATAAACACCACCTGGACCAACGTCCATAAGCAAAATTAGCTCATAACAACAAAAAAATAGCTCTTAATTTGAATTTTATGAGTTTTTGTTCTTAATTTAAGTACGGAATGAAGCTCATAAATATCAAATGTTTGCTCGGACGGACTGACGGACGGACAAGTGCAACGCTATATGCTCCCACATTGTGGGGGCATAAAAATTGGTGACAACTTTGGAGATGTGGAGATATAATTATAATAAAATGTAGTTATAATCAAAATAAAATAAGTCAACCATCTTACATCCCGTAAATCCCAGACGAGGTTTGCTGCAGTAAGAGTTGGTTCTTTTCCATCTATGGTAAAGTTTGAACCCTGAAAACATTACACGAAGACAAGATAAAACCACATTTAAAACAGATTTTTAGTAATCTTAAAGGAGCTCCACTGAGGTTGAAAAGTCTAAAAACAATAAAATTTGAATTTCTTTCAAAGTTCATACTCAAAATTAAATTGTAAATCAATATTACTGGTATCTACATTTCTTAGCCTAATTGAGTATTAGCGTTGCAAGTCTTTTGATTGGTGGTAAATTTGCAAAATAAAAATGACAATTGTGAAGGAATGATCTGAAAATTTGCACACATTAGTTATTGGTTCAGACCTACAACAAATGGTATGCATATCTCGGGGAAAAAATCCCAGTTCCCTTGTGTGAGAAACCTCATTTGAGTCCTTTTAGAGAAACAAGCAATTATCATAGTATTGCAAACAATCCATAAGTCCCCTACCGGTTAGAACCCCAGCAACATTCTGATGGGCCATTGGCCATTCAATTTTACCAGTGAATGAATGACATGAATGAACTTAAATCTTTTGAGTTCTAAGTTTGTCTATATCACAGTAATGTGTTAAGTTTCCCTGCCTAGTAAGGAAATTATGTTTATACAACAGATAATCAAAAGGTCCAATTTTCTCAGGATGAATAAGAATAACTAATGTTTCAACTTTTCTCTATTTTAAGTAAATTTGTTGGAAAAAATCTTTAAAAGTGATCTCAGGAAACAGTTTTTATGAACAGACAGACAGACATACATACAGACAGACTGAAGGAGACTCTAAAGTTATTTTTTCAAACATCCCTGTTACCAAAATATAACATATTTTAATGCAAAATTCTTAAAGAGAAGATAACTCTTGAAATAAAGATGCTAGATTTATGAACATTGTCATATATGATGTGAGTTTTACTTTAAGTTTAAAGATACCATTTATAGTCACAAAGAAGATAAGTAAAAAAAATAACAATTTTCAAATATAGCATTAACTATAATGTATAGTAAGTAACAGTAAATATAATGTAGGTGTTAATAATGAATATTTATTTTGAATTTGAAGAAAATCCATGGAGAAAAAATTAGAAAGTTAAAGAATGAATAAGAAAAGTTCAAAGTTTAAGGAGGAGATAATTCTGGAAAAGTGGATTCTACATTTATAAACTTTGTCATATTATTACGATGTGGGATTTTAAAGTAAATCCTATAAGGAATGAAGAAGTTGGAGTAAAAAATACCAATTTCTCGAAAAAAAATCTAAGTTCAAGGGGGACATAATTCTGGAAATAGTCTTGCTAGAGTATTTAACCTTCTCAAAATGTTAATTGATAATAAGAAACATATATATGAAGTTTGAAGTAGATACATTAGGAAATAAAGAAGTTATTTAAAAAAGACAACATTTTTTTTTCATAAAAATTCTAAGTTCGAGGGAGGTAATACTGATACTTTTTGTGCTAGAGTTGTAAACCTTGTCACATATGATGTGGTTGATGACCAGAAACTTATATTTTAAGTTTGAAGTAAACACCTTAAGAAATAAAGAACTTATAGTGAAAAAGCTGAAAAATTTAAATCAGAAATCTTGAAATTCAGTCTATTTGTTGCCATAGCAACCAGAATTTTCAACATAGGAAGAAAAGAAAAAGATGTGCATAATCTCCAGACTGCCATCTACCCATATTTCAAGTTTCATAAAAATATTTTCAGTACTTTTTGAGTTATCACTGGATCCAGTTTAAGTATTAAATCTGCCATATTTTCAGACTATTTGTTGCCATAGCAACCAAAATTTTCAACAAAGGAAGAAAAAAATAAGTACTTTTTGCGTTATCGCGGGATCCAATTTTGTGGACAGACGGACTGACGGTCTGACAGACAGACGGACGGAGGGTTAACCTAAAGTCCCCTCTGGTTAAACCGGTAGGGGACTTAACATTTTTGTATCAAAAATGTTTTTTAAAAAAAACACCACACAATAGATTCTCTTATTATTATTCTCCAAAATAGATGAAAGTTTCTCTCAGACTAAACAATTCCAAAAAACCAATAATAAAAATAATACAATGTCTGAGGCATATTTTGCCTATAAAAAATTTCATAAAAATAATTTCACATCACATTAACATTATACACTTTATAATTTGATTGATTTGGCAAGTAGAAAATACCTCCAAGCCAAAATGCAGTGGTTAAATACTTACAGCTAAAATAGCATCAAAGTCTTCTTTTACTGGCACATAAAGAACAGCTATTCCCTTGTCAGAATTTACTTCAATCTGAAACAGTTTCATGAAAATAGACTTATATTTAAAAACAGCAGAAAAGTTTTATGAAAATTAACTGACATTTAGACACAGAAGAAACGCTTTGTTAAATATTCTTTTAAAAATTTTGTCTCTTGAAAATTGACAACTGTTTTGTGAAAATTAAAAGACTTCTATTAAATACAATAGAAAATGGTTCGAGAAATTGACTTATATTTAATATTAAATCGATAAAAAAATGTTTCATGAAATTGACTTATATTCAAATAGAGAAGAAAAGGTTTCTTTAAAACTGACTTAAAGTTATGCTCTGGGCAAAAATAAAATCTGTTCATTCCTGTGAGGAAACTATCCAGCATCAGTGACTCTACTCAGGACAATGTCTAGTCGTGCCTGAAATAATGCATGGAGGGGTACCTGAGGGCGGCCTCCACCATTAAAGCTGGAAAGTTGTCATATGACCTCTACTGTGTTGGTGTGACTCGATAAGCTCGATAAAAATATATTGGAAAGAGTCAAAACTCAACATGTATACACAAGATAATTATGGTTCTGAAGCAATAAACTTATCATCTGCATGGGTAAAAGTGAAAAAAGTAAAAAATCTTAAAAACTTTACATTTCTACTATCAGGTTTACATTTGAAGTAATGGTAATTATAAATACTTTGACTCATGTTATGTAAAGTTTTGGGGAATGTCTGTGCCCTATGTAAACTACAATGGACCTTTCTGTTTTTTGTATTGGAATATTTAGCTACACCTTTTCCATTTATTGCTAGGTCAACTGCTCACAAACAGTATTACAAGCATAACCACATGTTCTTTTGTGCAAACCAGGTCAACCAGTGACTATGTATTATCTCAGTGTAGCAATTGGATAAAAAGTTAGACAATTTACATAAAACTGTAAACACTTCATAAGCATATACATGTTTTTACTGAACACAACACTTCCTTATCAAAAATTTAAACAAGAGAGCCCAGATGGCCCTAGATTGCTCACCTGACCCATCAAACTCATCTAAGTAATTACTAAAACAAGCACCCTGACAAAGTTTGATGATGATCGAGGCAAAAATGTGACTACTAGAGTGTTAAGGAACAAATGTGGCTGGATGACAGATGATGGGCATTCAACGATCATAAAAGCTCACCCTGAGCTAGCTTAGATAAGCTAAAAAACCAGTGTAAACCTGTAAGGTTTCACAATTTATTAAAACAGGACGTTTATAAAATCTATTTTTTGAAGTGTTTACTTAAATATTAATTTTGAGAGATTCTCAGAATATATGACAGTCTTTCCCTCTTTGTTATTACATTTATCACTGTAACTTAATTTATTAACATTGAATTCATGGTGAATGTTTTTATTCATAAAAGTAGAAGAAAAAAGTTTATTGTTGAAAAAGCAGTGACACTTCTAAAGTGACTGTAGGAATTAAAATCTTTGTTTAAAATGATCATGAAAAGAAATTCAAACAATTTTTATCTACCTTTAGGGGTTGTATAGATCAACTAAGTCAACCGGTTTCAACAAGATATTCTACAAAATGGCTACAGGTGGAGAAATAGATACGGATATTCTTTCTGATGAAATATTTGATGTATTATGCTCAATGTGTAAAAATCGAGGTATAAACACAGAAGGTGAAAATTTCTGCATAGACTGCCATGATTATTTCTGTATAAATTGTGTTAAAGTTCACAATCAAGTGCCTGTATTAGCTAGTCACAAGGTGTTGGATAAATCTCAAGTTAAGTTAGGAACCAGTAAAGCTCTACCGAGGGCACCAGCAGAGAGATGTGACAGACACAGTCATAAACACATTGATATGTACTGTCAGAATCATGATAATGTTGGCTGTACTACATGTATGGCAATTGATCACAGGTAACTTTTAGCATAATGAAAGTATTTATCCCTGTAAAGCTTAAGGGCCCCATCCTATTTGTCCCTGAAAGTGAGCTTTTTTTAATTACCCAATTACTTCATTTTCAAGAGCAGAAAACTCGAAAGTGTGGTAACCCAAAAAGGATGATGTCTCCTAATTCTTTCTTTCCATTAATTTACATCATTAAAAAAATTGTTTTTAATCAAGAACATTTTAAAGAAAATCTCTGTATTAAGTTTTTCTTCCTTGCCTATGTAAAAATTCAGTATAGTAGGAAATGTCTTTAACTGATTAATTCAACCAGTTTACAACCAGACAAGCCATCTAACACTGATTATTTTCAAACTGATCAAGCATTTATAGCAACACAATATTAATCATTTGGCTAAATATCACCTAATATTATTTTCGGACTGTTTTGTATTGAAAATTAATCTTTTTTTCCTGTTAAGAGCAAATTAATAAATCACTGTAATAAATCAATCATTTTGCCAGGTGAGAGCTAATAAATTAATCAATCTGCAAGATAATCAGATTAATTTTCTTTCCTCTCCGATGCCTAAACAGACTTAATTCCTTTTTTTCCAGATCATGTAAGGATATATTCTATATACCAGAATTCATCCAAAACAAATTTTACCAAGTGGCCTCAAGAGAAATTCAAACAAAGCTGAAGTCATTAGCCAAGATCCTTGCTGTACAAGCTAACAAACTTCAACAGGATAAACAAAGTCTTCTTAAAAGAAAGGCTGAGTTACTGGATGATATCAGAAAATTCCGACAAGAAATTAATGACCAACTTGACAAGCTGGAGAAATGTTCTGTAGATGAGATAGAAAATAAATTCAAACTTCTTGAAGACAAGATTGAAGAAGGTCTCCAAAATCTGCAAGCACACAAATCAATGGTTACATCAGCTAATGATAAATTAGCATCTCCAAACCCAAATCAAGTTGAATTGTTTGTTCATGTAAAAATGGGGGAAGATGCTGAAAATGTTGCCAACAAATTTATAAAAGATACCAAAAAGAAGATTACAGTAAGTGACATAGAGTTTCAACCTGACAGAAAACTCCTTCAATGCCTGAAGCAAAACAAAACAATTGGCATGCTAACAGAGAAAACTATAGAGACAGCTGACAATTTACTTAAGATAACAGGAGGACAATCATACTTTATCAAAGTTAAATCTAATGAAAATACATGTTCTATCACCAATGCCTGCTATATGGAAAATGACACAATAATCCTAGCTGACTTCACCAACAACAAGCTTAAACGGTTAGATAGTCACAATTATACCATCTCAGATTGCTATAATCTACCTGGATATCCATGGCAAATATGTAAAATTAATGAAACAGAAGTAGCAGTAACATTATACACCAAACAGGAAATTCATTTTATTTCTGTAGACAGAAAAATGAGAACAACAGACAAGATTAAAACTGATTTTGACTGTCTTGGTCTTGCATATGCAAACAATGATTTATATATTTCAGATGACACATCGGTCTATATCTACACAATGACTGGTAGGAAACTTAAACAGTTTAGTACTGACCAGTCAGGACATGAACTGTTCTCTGACATAGTCAGTCTAGCTGTCAGTAAGGATGCTACACGGATTTATGTTGCTGATGGTGATAAAGGACTGATAGTACTGGACAACAATGGTCAGATTGTTACAACATTTAATGGTAAACAATTACAGGGGGCTATTTATTGTCATCTCACTGAAGCAGGAAGTGTGCTGGTATCTGGAAATAGTTTAAATAATGTATTACAGTTTACATCTGATGGTGAGCTGATAGGAGAAATCATCAAAGCTGACAGTGGAAAACAAGGAATAAACTCAGTTTGTTGTAATCAACAAATGTCTAAGATGTGTATAAGTAGAGAAGATGAAGACAATATTGAGGTGTATGATATCTGATCAGTTAAAGGGTATAAAGCTACTATATCTTATGAAATATTTCTATAAAATTCATCAACAGCAAAATTATATTGTTTCCACTTTCTTATGATCGATTCTTGACATAATATAAAATGTCTCTGTTATCTAAAACACATGAATATTGTATGAATATTCTTTAAAAATTCAAACAAATGTTTCGCAGCAGATATATAGCTTTATACACTTTAAGCAAATGAATACAAACAACCATAATTTATAATCATGGTATGAATCAAAGGTTATTGTAATATAAATGGTAAACAAAGTGTGACTGATGTTGAAATTGTTATTGAATTGGGACTGGTAATTGTCATAAAATATTAGAATGAAGCTACCACATTAAACAGGACAATCATGAAAAAATAGTAACATGGATATATACAATGTAAGTGTAAGTGAAGTGCAAAATATTTGTTATTTTGCTCAAACATTCTTTATATACAACTATGTACAAGTTACCAAGGTGATTTGAGAGTGTGACTTTATATTATAAAATGGACATACATTTATAAGTGAATAACATTTTTATATTGTATATATTATACATGAACATAATTCATAACATAAACATAAAGTGAATTACAGTTTTTTTCATATTTTCAAAGATACTTTGTTTATCCTATACAAGTTACCCAAGTACATTATAGGAATATGCTTTAGATGATGTAATGAAGCATTTTGATAGAATTCTATAATATGTATCCACATACATGTATTTCATTGTTCAAAGTTTTATATTATGCATCGTAAATATTATATATATGTACTAACAATATACTATTATGTACTTTACATGGAACCACATTTGTATAATGGCAAATCAATTTTCAACATGTATTTATTTTTATACACAATTTCTTGATTTTTAATGCTTTGTATGAAATTAATTAAATGGTATACATACTGCTTGTATGTAAATCATGTTGCAAGACAAAAATCTGTATAGTAGTAGATGTTTATCTTTTTTGCACAAAAAAATTTACTCAATAAACATATTGTCTGAAACAATCTTAATTACTTTGTTGTTGTTATACGGTTTAATTTATATGGGTACTTTCTAACTTTAATGATGGAGAAAGTATTAAGATAACGTTCTTAGCATTTTTTAACATGTGAAGGTACTTATTGTAAAACTCCGCTGACCATAAAGAATTAGGTAGATCCTGAACAGAACCCACCCTTCTGAAAGCTCACACATATACTCATCCACAATGAAAACTTTACACACTAAACATCTTAATTATATGAATATAGATAATCTTACATAAACCTACACTACACTGGCTGATAAGCCAAGCGACACATTCTTTAAATGGAGACATGAGCTAAAAACAAGGGGGCCATTGGCCCCAATGCGCTCACCTGAGTACTAAATGCAATTGATATACAAAAGTGAAGTTACCAGGTCTTAAATTCAATTTTGACCCTAGGGCTATAATTTGAACAATCTTGGTACAGTTCCACAACACAATGCTTCATATCTTACCTCTAGCCTTTGTCAATTTAAAGGTTAAGATTTTTTAAGTTTTTACTATATACATATAAGTAAAACCTATGACCCCCAGGACAGGGCCAATTTTGACCCTAAGGGCTATAATTTGAACAACTTTGGTAGAGGACCTATAGATAATATTATACACCAAATATCTAAGCTCTAAGTCTTGTACCTTCAAACAAGAAGAATTTTTAAGTTTTTACTATACACATATAAGGAAAACCTATGACCCCTGGGGCGGGGCCAATTTTTACCCAGGCGCTATAATTTGAACAACTTTGATACAGGACCTAAAGAATATATTATATACCAAATATCTAAGCTCTAAGCCTTGTACCTTTAATAAAGAAGAATTTTTAAGTTTAACTATATACATATAAGGAAAATCTATGACCCCCTGGGGCGGGCCAAATTTGACCCCAGGGCTATAATTTTAACAACTTTGGTAGAGGACCTATAGGTGATATCATATTCTAAATATCAAAGCGCTAGGCCTTGTACTTTCAGACAAGAAGATTTTTAATTTTGCATTTTTTAAACTCCTTTTCTGGCCCTGTGACCTATTTATGCAACAGACCGGAACCATTTGAACATCTTTGGCAGGGGACCACCCAAGGATCATTCCTGTAAAGTTTGGTTGCTGTGCTGTCATTGGTTTCTGAGGAGATGTCGTTTAAAGAAATTGTTGAGGACGCACAACACACGACGGACGGTGGAGGATCACAATAGCTCACCATGAGCATGTTGTGCTCAGGTGAGCTAAAAACCAGTGTAAATCTTTAAGGTTTCACAATTTATTGAAACAGGACGTTTATAGAATCTATTTTTTGAAGTGTTTACTTGAATATTAATTGTGAGAGACTCTCAGAATATAAGACAGTCTTTCCCTCTTTGTTATTACATTCATCACTGTAACTTAATTCATAAACATTGAATTCAAGGTGAATGTTATTCATAAAAGTAGAAGAAAAAACTTTATTGTTGAAAAAGCAGTACGACTGACCCTTCTAAAGTGACAGTAGGAATAAAAATCTTTGTTTAAAATGATCATGAAAAGAAATTGGGACAATTTTTATCTGCCTTTATACCCCGGTCTCATATTCACGGAATACGCCCACGGAAGAGCCACGGATTAATTCCGGCATCGTCCGTAGCTACTCGTACTGGTCAGTAGCTCTCCGTAATGTAACCGTAATGAATCGTAGAAGTCCTTGTATATCCGTAGCGATCCTTGACAACTTTTGAACATGCACAAAAATTTGCTACGGAAAAATCAACCGTAGCGTATCCCTACTAGTCCGTATTAATCCGTATTGATACGTACTAGTCCGTACGAAAACCGTAATAGTCCGTACTGATTCGTAGTCCACCTACTCGTCAAGGATTTCCACGGTTTGGTACGGAGAACTACGTATTTGTACGGTTACCCTACGTTTAAGCTACGGTTTTAATACGGAAGATTACGGCATTGTCACGGAAAGCCACGATCAAAATACGTTGTACTAGGGAGAGGCAAGGATTAGCACGGTCTTATACGGTTCATTGCGTTGCAACACGGAACGGTACGGAATGGTACGACCCACCACTGTTTAGTACGGATGAATAAAGTATCATGTACTTTTTCAAGGGTATAAATACTACCTTCTTGTTAAAAACAGACATATACATGTATATTTGCAGGAACATCTATAAATGATAATTGCCATTTACCGGCTGCAACTTTATATTGAAATGGCTCAGAATGCGGAGGCAGTGGTCGAGCTGTTTGATGACATGCTTAGAAGTAAATTTATATTAATATCGTACTACAATTCATTAGAAATAAAATAACATTTAATGTTACATAATTTTTTTTATGTTACAAACATTGGATCGTGAAAATGGAGTTTCATAAGCCTCGGACACTTTCCCTTGAGTGATAATAAGATTAATTAACAAGTTTTTTACATTTTTTTAAAACATAAACATCACAATAATAAATGTAATTGTAAGATGAACAGCAAATCTTAAAATTAAAAGAGAAGCAGTAGTGATCAACATTTTTCATTAATGATCACTAGTCCATATCTAATCAGGTAAGAGAAGACATACGAAATTGTGGAATAGAGATGGGCTTTTACGAAGAGTATGAGGCTCTCATGGCCGAACTTGTTGAGGATCCAACGTTCTTCAAGAAATTCACTTTAATTGGACCTGATGTGTCTCGGGGTTCGGACGCGTTTAGGCTGAATCCTCTCCGCCAAAATCATTGAACGCTGCAATTCGTTTTCTAGGTGTTCTTTTCTTTTGAAGCATTTTGAAAATGAGCAAGCAAGAGGTTGTGGACGGATGTATTAGGTCCGTATAGATCCGTGGCAATTCGTTCTTCTCCGTATCAATACGTTCTTCTCCGTATCAGTCCGTACTTATTCGTACTTACCCGTGCTTATAACGTAGCAGCCCGTCGTGTATCCGTAGTGCGTCCGTCCTGATTCGTGTCGCTCCGTATCAAACCGTGTCGGTCCGGATCAATCCGTGTCTCTCCGGGGGCTTTTAGTGGTAAATCCGTCGGACTCCGTACTCATACCGTTGTGTGTCCGTACTGGAACCGTAGCGGACTACGGAAATTCACATTTCCGTAGTAATCCGTGAACGATTAGACCGTAGCTCTTCCGTGGCATTATCCGTGAATATGTGACCGGGGCATTAGATGTTGTATAGATCAACTAAGTAAACCGGTTTCCACAAAATATTCTATGAAATGGCTACAGGTGGAGAAATAGATACTGATATTCTTTCTGATGAAATATTTGATGTACTTTGTTCAATGTGTAAAAATGGAGGTAAAAATTCCGAAGGTGAAAAATTCTGTGTAGACTGTCATGATTATTTCTGTATAAATTGTGTAAAAGTTCACAATCAAGTGCCTGTATTAGCTAGTCACAAGGTGTTGGATAAATCTCAAGTTAAGTCAGGAACCAGTAAAGGTCTGGCGAGGGCACCAGCAGAGAGATGTGACAGACATAGTCATAAACACATTGATATGTACTGTCAGAATCATGATAATGTTGGCTGTTCTACATGTATGGCAATTGATCACATGTAGGTAACTTTTAGCATAATGAAAGTATTTATCCCTGTAAAGCTTTAGACCCCCATCCTATTTGCCCCTGAAAGTGAGCTTTTTTAATTATCCATTACTTCATTTTCAAGAGCAGATAACTCGAAAGTGTGGTAACACAAAAAGGATGATGTCTCCTAATTCTTTCTTTCCATTAATTTACATCAGTTAAAATTGTTTTTAATCACAAACATTTTAAAGAAAATCACTGTATCAAGTTTTTCTTCCTTGCCTATGTAAAAATTCAGTATAGTAGGAAATGTCTTTAACTGATTAATTCAACCAGTTTACAACCAGACAAGCCATCTAACACTGATTATTTTCAAACTGATCAAGCATTTATAGCAACACAATATTAATCATTTGTCTAAATATCACCTAATATTATTTTCGGACTGTTTTGTATTGAAAATTAATCTCTTTTTTTCGCGTTAACAGCAAATTAATAAATTACTGTAATAAATTAATCATTTTGCCAGGTGAGGGCTAAAATATTAATCAACCTGCAAGATAATAAAACAGATTAATTTTTCTGTCCTCTTTAATGTCTAAACAGACTTAATTCCTTTTTCAGATCATGTAAGGATATATTCTATATACCAGAATTCATCCTAAACAAATCATACCAAGTGGCTTCAAGAGAAATTCAAACAAAGCTGAAGGCATTAACCAAGATCCTTGCTGTACAAGCTAACAAATTTCAACAGGATAAACAGAACCTTCTGAAAAGAAAGGCTGAGTTACTGGACGATATCAGACAATTACGACAAGAAATTAATGACCAACTTGACAAGCTGGAGGAAAGTTCTGTAGTTGAGATAGAAAATAAATTCAAACTTCTTGAAGACAAGATTGAAGAAGGTCTCAAACAGCTACAAGCACACAAAGCAAAGGTTACTTCAGCTAATGATAAATTAGCATCTCCAAACCCAAATCAAGCTGAATTGTTTGTTCATATAAAAATGGGGGAAGATGCTGAAAATGTTGCCAACAAATTTATAAAAGATACCAAAAAGAAGATTACAGTAAGTGGCATAGAGTTTCAACCTGACAGAAAACTCCTTCAACAGCTGAAAGAAAACAAAACGCTTGGCATGCTTACAGAGAAAACTATAAAGACTGACAACAACTTACTTCAGATTACAGGAGGACAATCATATTGTGTCAAAGATAAGTCTGATGAAAAAATATGTGACATCTACGGTGCCTGCTATATGGAAGATGGTAAAATAATCCTAGTTGACCACAACAACAAGAAGCTTAAACGATTAGATAGTCACAATTATACCATCACAGATTGCTATAGTCTTCCTGGTTATCCATATCAAATATGTAAAATTAATGAAACACAAGTAGCAGTAACATTAAGAACCAAACAGGAAATTCATTTCATTTCTGTAGACAGAAAAATGAAAACAA